GCGATGCGGCGTCTCTCACGAATGGAGCGCACCCTCTTTACGCTAAAGCCAATCAGCCCCATCGTATGTCTGCGAAGAATTCTTCTACGACGATTGCTTAAAAACAAATTTAATCAGTTTGCGAGATTGAAGCACGTGTTGACACCATGCGAGTGCTGATAGAGAGAATCCATTTACAGAAAGACAGAGCTTGAGCGCTGTCATTCTCAACAATAAGTAGTACCTAACAAGTAAAAACCTTGGCGAAGGATCTAAATGTTTAGAAACCACTGTTTACTACGAAACAATGCAGTGATATGCTGCCCTGTCGACATTGAGGAATATTGGTGTTTAGAACAAATGTTTGATGATTTAGAGTATGATTCTCCTAAGAATATTCCACTTGGTGCATAATTAAGACGTACATATAAATCTACGGGGAATGCCAGTGCCTGAAAAGCGTCAGGTTAGGTTCCCCGGTGTATTATAAACTTTTATTGAAGATAATTTTAAGTGCGCCATTACGCTACATGATGACATTAGACGCTACTGTTCCACACGTATCGTTTTTTTTTTTCACCGCCACAGAGAACCGTCCTTAAGGCATTACATTTTGTGTGTATAGGTCTCTTACGTGTGCGTCGTTAGGCAGGTGTGTATGGAGGGAAGCAGTGTCTTGTAGAACCTGTTATCATGTATCCAGTGATCATAACTAGAGGTGTGACTCAACCAGAATGAATAGCCAGTAGTAAATATAGCGCTGTCACTGTGTCGGTTGTCTTGCGGTTGCGTTTCTTTTGTCATCAGTCGTGGGCGAATCCTGAATTTACACGCATCAGCCGCTCCTTTGCCACCTCTGTTAAACCTATTCCCCGAAACGCCGAAAGGATGATGACCTCAATTGCGCGTACTGGGAGAACAATCAAATGGAGAGATGACGTCCATGCCCGATATTCTTTGTCGTAAGCTCTGTACGGAATTCCGCCTGCGTACCTTCTATTGTCATACATGTCCTCGCGATCTAGGTGACCCTTAGCGCGAAGACACGACCAGTGTCTCTGCAGATGTGGACCATGTGGGAAGAAAAGGTACTGCTGGGAGTATCTATTGCCAGGAGCAGCAGAATCCCAGCGTGCTAGTTCATACTCTCTCTTCTCTCGAATGTCTGAGGAACAATGGTATTAGTAAATCTCTGCTTGCCGCTGACGTTCGCAATGCGTCAGCGGCAGAGTGACGTCGACTTCACTGCATTTTGTGTTGTACGCTTGTTCACAGGGCTGTCTACTCTCGGTTGCAGAGTAGGGTGCGGAAAAGACAGAATAATATCTCGATGAGTGCAGACGATGCATGAAGCGAGGAGCTGCGGCGGCAAACGACTCGGCGCTGACTTGTGACTACGTGTCACACGAGGTCAACTGTCTGCCGCCGATGTCGATTCTGCGCCGGATTGCGCATGTCATCGTCAGTGAGGGCGAAACTGTTTACGTTTCATTCCCTTTGTCTCACACAGAACGTGAATTGGAAGCAAATGTCTTTAGTGCAGCGTTTGCTGTGTGACGCGCGTATGTACCTTTATTTATCGTTTGCTTGAACGAGACAGAAAGATACATATAGGTACCGTGAGAATGCAGAGCTGCTTTGTGAGGGGTGTAAATGCGGCATGAACTGGGTGTTGCAGAAGTAACATGGGGTTGCCTGTATGCTTTCGTTGGAGCACAAACCTACAATACATACATACATACATACATACATACATACATACATACATACATACATACATACATACATACATACATACATACATACATACATACATACATACATACATACATACATACATACATACATACATACATACATACACACACACACATACATACATACATACATACATACATACATACATACATACATACATACATACATACATACATACATACATACATACATACATACACACACACACACACACACACACACACATACATACATACATACATACATACATACATACACACACACACACACACACACACACACACACATACATACATACATACATACATACATACATACTGTAAAGAAAGAGACAGGAGACAGCACCCTTGCTGCGGGCCTGCTGTCCTTATTCTAATTTCGTTCTCCTCCGCTTCATTTAGCCGAGCTACGCGCGAACGCAGCAGTGCATCAATGGATCACGAAAGTTGCGCAATATTTGCACGTTATCATAAAAAAGTTGGTTGTAGGTGTCATTAGTCATCGATAAAATCTCACTGACTAAAACACTTAGTAATCCAGCGTAATGGGTAGTGCTCGCTCAGGCTTCGGAACACGTCAAACGAGTAACGTGCAGGGTCCAATTATAGACATGATTACGACGCTATGAAATTGCTGACAACACTCGATGAAGATGAAATCTAGGAAGATGTACCTCGCGCAGAACTTCGCGACTTTTAGCGCCGGTCATAAACGGTCACAAAAAAAAAAACATAAACAACTTGCGCGTATACGTTGTGACCCGTCATGAATGCATAAACAAACATTGCATGAGGTTACCTGTCACGTGAGGTGATAACAAATGCGAGCGCATGCATAAAGCCTAATTACTCCCATTAAACATCTCGCTTCAAATATTTTCAAGTGCATGTTGGGTATGCACATGTTCTTCCTTATTATTATGAAAAACGCATGCTATCAACGAGATATTAGTATTTCCTGATGGCGCAAGCTAATCTTTTTCTTTGAGACAATGCTCACTGTGATGAAAAAGTTTAGGCCCATCAGAGTGAATCAACACCCTTTTTAGACTCTACTACCTAGATGGTCTTATTTTGAAGCATTCAGTTTTTCATGGTAGGTGTCACGAACGAGGCTTTAATAGTCGAACATCAAGATGGCCCTTTGTTTTGTGTCCTAGTGTAACCCAAACTGAGGTTAAAGTTTGATCTATTCAATAATTGACCTACTTCATGAACATGTCATTGAATGAATGATTTTCAAGCGCCACCACCACTAATGTTACTGATATGTTTTCATCAAGCTTCACCAAATAGGGCGTATTTTCTACGTGACCAGTATTTGCGAAATAAATAAAACATTTTAATGAGGTGACATGGATGAATCGTCAAGGCTAACTAAGGATAGTGTGAAAGCTGATTAGAGGATACTTTTAATTGCTTTATGGTGGAAAGTTTCCTTTGTAGACTAATAGTTCTGCTTTTTTTGAGTTTTCTCTTCATGTCACTTTTGTTCATGTTTTGAATGCTGCTTTTAATTATACAGCGTAAACTGGTGGTTGTGAAACGAGCTTTCCGTTTGCGCCCTATCTGCACGAGTCTTTTATTTATTTATTAGAATACCCTCAGGGCCCGTAGGGCATTACAGAGGGGGTGGGTACAACATATATAACACACAAGAAAAAAGACAAAATAAAGAAACAAGTATCAGATGCGCAAATCAGGAAGGCAACATAAGTCAACTAAAAATGTATAAGAATTCAAGCACATACAAAACAAAGATAGATAATGGAAACTGCGTATAGTTACAAGCATTGCTGAGAAATTGCAGTCTTGAATGACAAAGGGTCTGTTATTGATACAACGGAAGAGGGAAGATGGTTCCAATCGGCGGCTGTTTTCGGTAAGAAGGCTGCTCAAAAGAATTTGGTGCGGCAAAACGGAATGGCAACCTTATGCTGATGATCAATGCGCGATGAGTGGTATGACGGTTGTGAAATGAGGTCTCGCTTCATTGATGGATTGTGAAAAAATATCTTATGAAAAAAATGCAGTCGCGCCAGTTTCCTCCGGACAGTTAAATTGGGTAGGTCAAGGTTAGATTTCATTTCTGATATGCTAGCAGTACGGGAATAATTAGAACAAATGAACCGAACTGAGCGGTTCTGAACAGATTCTAACGCGTTAATTAAATTTTGCTGCACGGGATCCCATATAGCGGACGCGTACTCAAGCTTTGGGCGAATTAGTGATCGGTATAATAGAATTTTGAGGGACAGCGGAGCGCGAGAAAAGTTGCGGCGTAAGTATCCTAGCGTTCGGTTAGCGTTATTACAGATGTAGGTAACATGCGTGTGCCAAGATAGATTGTTGGTAATGTAAACGCCGAGGTACTTATATGAAGAGACATGCTGGAGGGGAACGGTCTTATCTCTGTACCCTGATTACTTCGTACCAACATTAGCATAGAACTTTGTGCCCTCTAATTTTCGGCTCATCGAATCTTTATTAGAAGCCCTGCAGTTTTAGGCATGCATCGTGCAGGGGTATTCTAACAATATTTTAAAGTACATTTGATCATATCTGCTATCGCCCACTGACTGTTCATATGCTTTCTTAGGGGACATGCCGCATTTTTCTGGCCCCTATCATATTACGTTACAAACATACCCACTTTGCATCGACCAGTTGCATCTTTTTCAGCGTTAAAATACGATATCCACTCATTGTATGACATCTTTTCACGCGCGCTACTATGATCGCAATTACGTTATTGCGGCATGTCTATTACGCACGTACATTATTTCATGCACCCACCAGGCCCTTGAATCTATTATATTATACAATAAAGCAACAGCAATAACTTGTCAGAACGGAACCAACATCCAGCGAGAACAACGAATGTTTGAGGTGCAAACACACATCCTACAGTCTACTTTCGCGCACAATAGTGTTTCCGTGAATATATCAGTAGTTATTTAAAATCTAATCATTGCAGAAGTGAAACAGTATTTATCCTTGTTAGCCAACCTGCACAGCATCAATAAATTTTTGAGCTTGCAATTAGCTACGTGGCGCAGGTGATTGGCAGCGCACTATCCTCGTTCCAAAGTCTATCTCTTTCTCTACGTCGCACTTCATGCTCGCTTTTTCGCTGCTAAGGCAACTAGATTCAATGATTGTAGTTAGATAGGTACAGAAGCGAACTTCTTCGCTACCGCGAGCTTGAATGCTGGAGGAGAGAAATGTTCAATGAGCCAAAGAGTAGCCAGCATGCACACTCACTCAGCATGTTGATGACCGCCTTGCGGGACGATGACGCGGCTGCACCTCCGCGAACCGATTTCCTTAGCTGGCAGCCCCTCTGCAGCTTGCTGGGCAGCGGCTGCACCACAGCCGAACTCTGTTTGTGCCCCGTGGCGGACGAGGAGTCGCCCTTCCCGTTGACGACACTGGTGCTGGGGCTGTTCGAGGCGGGACACTTGTGGTGCACGTCCTGGCGCGACAGGGCGTCGGAGCGCTTCAGCTGCAGCGCTATGCAAACGTACAGCACCAGAATGACGCTCATGGGCAGCAAGAAGAACACGAACGTGGACAGTTCGAAGGCGTGTTCCAGCGGGTCCTTGACCGTGCACTGCGGCCGTCTCCGGAAGCACCGTCGTGCCGTCCAGCGTCTGGTGGACGATGCCGAACTGGACGGCGAGCGGGACGGCACACACGGCACTCAGGACCCAAATGGCGACGACAAACTTGACGGCCCGGGACAACTTGGACATGGTGTGGGCCCGCAGCGGGTGGCAGATCGCCACGTAGCGCTCGATCGTGAACGCGGTGATCGTCAGTATGGACGCGTTGGTCGAGGTCTCCGAGGTCAGACCTCGGAGTACGCAGAATGCCTCTCCGAACACGTACGGGTGCCGCTGCCAGAGTTGGTACAGTTCTTGGGGCAGCCCGAGCACCAGCAGGAGCAGATCGGAGACGGCCAAGCTGAAGAGGTAGTAGTTGGTCGCCGTGTGCATGTACCGGTTGCGCGCGATGACGATGCACGTGCAGACGTTGCCGACCACTCCGGAGACGAGTAGGACAGAGTAGATGAGCGTCATTGGGATAACCGTGGTTAGCGGGTCGCGCTTGGGGCCCAATGCCAGGAGGAGCATTTCGGCGGCTGCTGACTGCGTTCAGCGTCACCAGGGGATCGTCGGCCAGCGTACCGGATGTCGTCTTCGTCGGCGGAAGCCATGTCGGTCGCAGCGTCCGTATGCGCCAGGGTGGACGCCGGCTGTGGTGGGATCATGCTCCTCCGGCCTCAGATTGGGATGCGATCTGCCTCGGCCTGCTTGACAGTTTCATTGTGGCCGTCTCATCGAGGCTCCTCTCGCTGCGTTCTGCGCAATGACAGTAAGCCACATAGTGATATTAAAACACACGCAAGAGAAGTTTACAGAAGCACTCTAACGAAGACAAGTATGCATGCGCATATTCAAGCAAGGTGTTTAGATAGCGACTAGGCACTAAACGGAGATGTGTATAGTATTCGATTGCTTAAATGAGTTTAGTATTCATACAGTTTTATATTTAAGCATCTATTGCGTAGCAAACCCTGAATTAGAAAGCAGTCAGGTAACTTTGGTAATGGGCATAAGCAATTATAATATAAGTCACATAAAGTGCCTGTTCTTAAATGTTTCATGTTGTCTCGCTTGAACTGGTCTTCTTTGAGCACTGATTGGTGAGGTATGGATCACTAAGATTACCACTGGTGTATTCTCTGCAGTATTTGTCGTCATATCTTGTATATATTTGTGATAATGAGAACTAACACACCACACTGCTCAGGAAATTATAGGGGATCCCATTAGTAGTAAATGTAAAACGTAAACATGAAGAAAAAAAAGTGGATGAAAACATAACTCGCCACGGGCAGTGACCGAACGTGCGATCATCAAATCACGCTTCTGTAATGTCTGTCATGTTTCACGTCTTCTTTACGCATGAGCATAGCTAATATAACTTTATAGTTATATCCGTGGAGCGTTCTTGTATTCCAGTTTCATCTGCACAACCAAAAATATATTCCTTGTTGTCCAGGAAAGGTTTTTAAGTTTCAAAAGGAAGGATGAAGTTGAATGTTCATGCTGATATACTAGGAGATCACTTTGAGTTCAGGATAAATGCTAAAATAAATGTATATTAGGTTATTGGTAAATTATACAATAGAAAAAAAGGGCTCCGAACATGGGCTCCAAGCGAAAAGCGCATTAAAGCTTTATGAACATTTGACTACATTGCCGCGGACTTTGTTTTTTATCCAGCGGCCGTGGCTCTGCATTATTTAAACTAGAGAGAGTATGTTGATTAATTCTGTAAAATCGAAAATGTGACTCGTGTATCTCCTCTAATGAGTCTGCTGATTCCCGATTCCTAAAGGGGCCTTAGTACATCGACGAAATCCCACTATGCGACAGCAGAACGAAAAAAAAAGCCGTCTGATTTTGAACGCAATTTTGAATCAATGTTACTCAGAGCTTTCGAATGCAGACGCTAAAGCTCTCTTGGGCCAAACAACAAACGCTTTAATTGAGCGTTAATCGCTAATACCTCCGACTTTTCGCCTCCCGGCTGATCAACAAACGGAGCACTCAGCTATTAGTGACTTCCACTCGCAACCTCTTTTAGTGCGTTCGTTAGTTGCTGTCAACCAAGACCCAAGGGTTTAGTAAGCGCAGAAAATCACATCACGCTCTCTTGCATCTATCGCCCATTCAATGCGAACAGTCAGCGAAAAACCTTAACTATTTGCCCCGTCGACGCTTGGCTTAAAATTATTGAAATGCGCTTGGGAGTGATGGCGCACCATCCTGTTAAGTGTTTACGCTTGCTGGGGGCAAAATGGAGCAAAGTTAGTTTGTTCCGAAATTGTGATGTGTTTGAAATTATTCTGTCTGAGGCTTGGTAAGGTGTGTGCGCGCGGTAAAAGGATAACGGATGGGAGAGAGAACTGAAGTCAGTGATGCGAGGGTAAAATAATGCGATAGTTTGCACTGAAAATTTGTTTACGGGCTTCTGGTAAACAAGGTTCAGGCATCTAATGGATCGAAATCGGATCGAAGTGATTTTGCAAGAAGTATTTTATCCTATAGTGAATGACAGTTATTGCATGTTCGTGCTGTTTCACAGGAAGTTTTGTAAACACGCGTTTATTACCTTCGCTACTCTTGAGGATGTGAAAGGTGACAATAATTGGCATGCTAGTAGTAAAGATAACATAGGTAAACACGACTGCGTGAACACAAAGAAAAATACTTGGTAGCTATGACTGCGCATGAGTCAACAATTAGCGCTTGTTTGCCGCACAGGTACTTTATCTTCTACCATTTTTTTACAGCAAAACTGCTAGCTGGCCTAGTTCGCACAAATTCATGGAATTAGTTTCGCGCGGAGCACACGGGAACAAATAAACAACAGTGACTGGTGTTTTCCTATATTTACCTTTCTCTGACAAATCAAGTTTCTATACTCACGGTGTAAATATTTACCCGAGAATGAGCTCTGCTATTGTCATGCGCAGACACTTGAGTATTCCAGGAAGTGGGGCGATTTCACCAATAGATGTTGGTTTTCCTATCCTCTACAATGAGATCGCTTAAGGATGCTGAAAGAAAAAAGAATTAGTCTAAACATGCAGACAATGAAGTCTGAATTAGCAGGAAGTGAGTTTTCCTTGTATACGAAAAGAAAAATAAAACAAAAACTTTTCGCGTGATAGAGTACCAGCCTGTTGTATTTGTAGTTTTTTTTTTTTTGCTCAGCCCTTTCCGCTAACTCAGAATGTTCTCCAGTGCTCTAATGACTTTTTCCTGCATATATGATGCATTGAAAGCATCAAAGGAAAATTCGAACGAAAATGATCAATTCTCTCGCTTATACGTGTATACTGTAGGTAAGTGCTAACAAGCATATACTCTGTGTATTGCATTTTAGTGAAGGCACTGTATCTCGTTGCTGTGCTCGTTGGCGAGGAAAACCATCTTCTCTCATTTGTGGGCGTTCATTACATGGCATCGTGCTATGGGAATCTTTGGGGAATACAATAGAGACGCTGGTAAAAATTTTCCCATTGTTTTCCTCGACGTATTATTACTTTTTTTTTCTTTCAGCGGCGGGTAGCGTATCCACAAACGAGCACGCTTCATCCCTTAGGACGATGCGCCATCCGACAACTCTCTCGGGATACCAAATGGATCCCTGAAGAGCCGTTAAGCGACGACGTCCTGAAAGCAACTCTACTCTGAAACACCGCACGCGCGGATTAGCGCGAAATTCCTGTCGGGCTCGCATACCTGTGTGGCTAATTAACAGTCGCGGGTGCTTCCACGAAACGATGGCACAGAGTCTGGAAGTGAGCCCGTTTCGCCAATAGAACCCGTAATAAACTGAAGCAAAGCGTGAGTCCGGACTCGCTGGATCTACATTGCGACAAACGTAGCAACAGACAAAAAAATATAGCAACAGACAAGGCATAGTCATTGTTGCACTTTCGTGTGTTGCGAGTTTGCGACACCACGGGCAAGCACCTAAATTGAACAGCTGTTTGACCTCAGAGACGACGGCGTGACTGGGTGATTGACGTTATCTCGGAGGCCATGTTTTCTTTTCGCCAAACACGGTCGTGACCTGTTTCTCTCAGTCACGCGGAGTTACTAGTACGCGGCCTGGAAAGCATCGTGAAAGCTGCAACGTTTCATGGTTCTTCCTGTTTTCTTTTTCAGTATTTTTTTTCTTTCTTTCGGCATCGCTTTGACATCGAATGCGACGGGCCCAAAAGTTAGCTCCAAAACACTTGTTGGCATTAGCCTAACCTAGGCGACGACGTGAACCAGCTGGCTCCTGACACGCTCTGAAAAGCTTTTGGTGACAAAACATGCGGTTAGTTACAGTGGTTTGAGTTTGAGTTTGAGTTTAGTTTATTTACCACGTACAGTTGTACAGTAAGTGGCTGGGACAGAGGAAAGAAGCTGTATAAAACAGCTTGACAAAGCCCCATATCCCCGTGATTGATATACTACGCTACAGTTACTGGAACAAAAAGTTATGGACTACTTCATAACATGTGTCCCTCCCTAACTTGTGTCCTAGTTCAATGTAGGGCTGTATTTGGATAGTGTATGATGCACTTTGAATCTACCTTCGTATTGTGAAGCAATGAGAGAGAATGTCTAACTTGATGCAAGAAGAGGTGATGCTTCAGCTCAATAGTTATTCTTAATCAAGTAAACACAACCACAGGAGGTAATACAATGGTATATGGTGTTTTACGCGTCAAAACCATGATGTGATCATGAAGCCCGCGGCAGTGGAGAGGTCCAGAAATTTCAATCATCTTAGGTTCTCTAACATGCACTGACATCTGACAGTACGGATCTGTCGGATTGCGTGTCCCTCAGAAATACGAAAGCCACGGACGATATAAAAAAATCTTGACAGAAGCGGAGCACCGTATAGCTGCTGATCTCCCGCGGTGGATTTGACAGCACAAAGGGGAAGATGCGACCTAAGCGACATGCAGAAATGCAATGAAGCTTTCTGGGCATACTCTTGCTTAAATTATATGCGGACGTGTTTATGTATTATGGAACTTACCATCGTGGAAATTATAAAAAAATATAAACAGTTCGAGAATTTAAATAATTGATAATGAACTTGTTTCTTGCCCCGGACGCAGATGTGCTGTAAAAAATTGTGTTTACAGACATGCCGTAAATGTGACTAAGTAATAATCACGATGTGTAGCGACTCCATCACAATGTCATAAAAAAATATTGTTTTTAGAATAACTAGTTACTTCATGTGACATAATTTGTTGTTTTTCTTGTATTTGTGCTGATATTTTACTGTGACTGCATTGTTACATTGTGTTTATTACTGTCATTATGTTATTACTGTGATTGGTGCTTATATGCTTACTTTATTCAAAATTATATTCCTGTTTATTCGTGTGATTTTATTTCGAAATTAGTTACTTCTGCTGCCCCAGTGTGGTAAAGCCTGATCAGGAGGTTTAAACCCTCCTTTTTTCTTTACCTCGTGGGCAAACCTTGTGTAGCGGTATGCCCACAGTAAGTTTTTAAAAATTTTCAAATAAAGCAGTGTTAGCCCGCGTTCCTTATGAGGGAACAGGCTGGTATACCAGCAAAACATTCTACAGTACACTATATGACTTCAAAATGTGCGCGTTTATTCCGCAGCTTTTGTTGTCCGTTCAAAGCCAGATTACACTTACTCATTGTCATTCATTAGGCATTCATTACATTTACAACATTTTCTCTCCTCACTTTTTCATCTGTCTTGGTACTCTTTGGCCATAACCGAACATTGCACC